AACGTGCTCGCCCACTCAATAATTTCATTCTCGCTTTATTTTTTTTAATTTTTAATTTATTATTGTTATTATTATTATGTAGTATTTAATTTTTATTTCAAATTTGGCAAAGAATTTGCATGCAACGTTGAGGCAAATGTTGTTTAGTTTATTCTTATGCGTAACATATATTTTATTTCAGATGTTTTGGACTTTATTTTTATTTTTATTTTTTATTTTTTTTGGGTAGGGGGGGTGGGGGGGGTCTACCTTCGGCCGGACGCGTTGAGAGGGGGCGCCGAACGTTCGGCCGTTCGGGTTCGGGCGTTCGGCCCGTTCCGAACGGCGGCAACCTTGAGTATATATATATATATCGAACGCGTTGAGAGGGGGTGCCGAACGTTCGACCGTTCGGGTTCTGGCGTTCGGCCCGTCCCGAACGACGACAACTTTTTATATATATATATTAACTAAGTAGTTATTTGAGTTTTCAAAAACAATAACATATAGACATAGGCTACCAAAGTGGCTCATGACCACTTGCCTAGCCGAGATGAAAATACATAAATAAAAAGTTAATAATTAATTTTGATGTGATCCTAAGATAATAGTTTGTTTTCATTTTTTTTTTTTAGGACCTTTCTTGGTCCTTGCATAGCCTGGCTGTCCAGAGGTGATCCGGGTGGCCCGACTGGTAGCCTAAATTCTGACGTAAAACATTTGTAAATTATTCGAGTTTTTTATAAACAAACTTTTTTTTTACATATTTTTGCGTTAACTTTAACCTTAAAAAATGAGATATGATCACCGACTAAAATGAACATAAAACCAGATTGCTAAATAAAAATAACTCTCCATATCCTTTCAAAATATTTATAAGCAAAATAAATTAGATGAAGGTAAATAAATTAAAATTATTTACTTTTATTATTCATGAAATGTTTGATTACAAATTAATAGTAGTGGCTGAAACCAAAATATAAATAATGTTTGGTTTTTGTTATTGATATTGATGAAAGACAATATTCAATATTTGAAAAGGTTGGTGGTACTAAGATTTAATTTTGTAATATCCGTTAGTACGAAGTTTTGTGAATATCTAAAATAAGTCGATATGAGGCAAATTACGACCAGTTAGTTTGCTATATTGCATATATCTATTATTAATTAAAAAAAAAAAAAAACTACTATTTGTGTTTTACTCTTTATTGGAGTTACTAAACCATTTAAATATTAATTATATTACATTAATTAATTTTATTTCAACGCTTAACTATATTTTTGGAAAAAATAAATAAATATATCGAATGGTATGTATACCTTATTTAATATTTGATTAAATTTGTATGCCTCATATAGCCTAGTAATTATTTTTATTTTTGTTTTAAATACGAAAAATATTGTTGATACACATTTATTGACTTAGCATTACATAAGGCGTTGTAGTTGAAACATACAATTTAATTGATTTCCAAAGGGTACGAAGTCGGTAGATGTCGAAGCAGCCAACGACTGCTTAGTTAGTCTCACCCGACCGCCGACGGATTCGTACTGCTCAAGTATGCGATGTGCTCTTTCGAGTCCATCGATTTAGGCTCCTTCCCGTCTGCTGACTGTGTACACAACCAGACCAGCGCTGCGCTGCGCGCCTATTGCTAGGCTGCTGCTGTAAATAAAGGTACTACGAGCCCTCTGCCCCATTCGAAAAGAGATTCGAATGGTTCACCGGTTCCACCGTATGCTCTCATCTTTTTCATTTTCATTTAAGATTGAGTCTGCAGTGCGCTTCAGGTGTGTTAGGTCCATATTGGACTTAGGTTCTCTACATGTGCTGGTAAGTACGTCAGTAATCAACGTAAATACAGAGAAGACGTTGCTTCGTGCCTTGCCACGTCTGGTCTGGTATCCCACCTACACCTCGCGTTCACGAACTCCCCGTTCAACTGCATCTCGGAGACACGGTCGGAGATCTTCCAAGGACTGGCTAAATCCAGTGATCTCCTTTCACGACAGGCTATGGTCCCCGGAATGAGTTCGTCATTCCAGGTGTCTTTCATGCATGCTCCACGCATGAAATAAGTCGTGTCCATCAGCGTTCCGTCTCGAACGCATAACACTCCCAGACGGGCCAACACTGCGTGCCTCCTGGATGTTTCCGCCGGGCCAGCGGCACGGGTTGCGTGCCCCCCGTGATCACCAAATGAAATTAAATAGGCCGCCGCTTCGCGGCGGTAACAGTCAACGCTGCGCCCGTCCATTAGTACCCAATGCTTGGCAATCTTTTGTTGAAATGATTTATGAATTCGTTCTAAACTTAGTCAATGAACAAATAAGTGGTGCATGAATGGAGGTCATTTAGTACCCAATGCTTGGCAATCTTTTGTTGAAATGATTTATGAATTCGTTCTAAACTTAGTCAATGAACAAATAAGTGGTGTACCAGCAGTTAAACAACGATTTTTTCCTTTCATCTTTGTCACTTTTACTTTTTTGTTATTTTGTAATCTTATTGGCATGATTCCTTTTTATTGGGCTTACTATAGTGGGATTTCAAACTCATGGGCTGATCCCCTTAAGGGTCCGCACAGGACAATTCTTACTACGGGATCTCTGAATTCTCCTTGGTATGGTACCACCGTGGAGTTATTTCCCCAGTTCCCACGATCTCGAATTTAACTCTTAGCATAATCCTATTAAAAAAAAGTTGCATTCAAAATCAAAGCAATTACAAACTGTTTGTGGTCATAGGAAATAAAAATTGAGTAATTATGAAAACATTTGTGGTTTATGTGATACACACATGTGGAATAAATCCGTCAGGCTTGTATTGTGGATATACTTTTAATTCGCATATTATTTGTATTGACAAGTATCAATTGAATAATATAAGAGTTAAATAGTTAATTAGGTGGCAAAAAAATATTGCAAACGGAGTCAATAGAACTATACGCATACAAATCTCACCTCTCGTACCCTTCTTTTGTTAATGTTTTTTTGCGCACCTCCACCTCAACGTCTACCACTCAGGACAATTACGCACCTAGCATGTTTGCGGATTGACTTAACTAGGCAACAGTTGCAAGCACTACCTCAACGTCGACCACTCAAGACAATTCTTCTACTACCTTGTTGGGGGATTGACATGACTAGGTAATGGCTGCAAGCACTAGTGCTAAGCGGGAACCCCGCTCAACCCTAATCGAGCCATGTTGTACATGTATTTAAGGTGCTAAGCATAAACATCCTATCTACATGCCCCATACGTACATCCAAAACTAATATAATCACTCGAGAGTATTGAACACAGCTAATCATATATATCACAACGAATAGCCAATGAATCCCTGTAGCCAAGGTCTAAACTATAATATCATTTGCACAAGCTGTGTATACCTTCCTAACACGGTACTTTTGCTTGTTACGGTAATTGTTGATATATATCACACAAAGATAATCTAGCCTCTGCCATCAGCAGGTACATGACCACCATCCATTTCCATATTTTGTTCAACATCTAAACACTCTCCAATCATACTGTGATTGCTTGATCATTGTTGCTTAAATATCAACTGGATGTAATATAATCTCTATTAGCAGTAGGTATATGACCACCATCTACCGCCATACGTTGCTCATCAACTGAAGACTGTACAGTCACTGTGGTTTTCTTTGTTACCCTCCAGAGTTGCTACAATCTCGGTTATCAGTGGGTACACGACCACTATCCCCCTACCTTTGTCATCAATGGGCCCACTTTGGTCTATTTCTCATGGCAAACCCTCCTGTACGATCCCCCCTTACAACCATCCCACCTGCAGACCGAGCCTCCCTTAAGGCCTTCCGGTAACCAACTACGTAATCATCCACTCCACTAGGCCAACCCACTGGTCAATCCTCTTCTAGACCAACTCACCCGTCAATCCTCTTTCTCTCAATCCAACCTCAGTTCAACATGGCCTGACCCCACCCCCTAAAGGCCAGACTACGTCCCACTCTGCGACGAGTCCCCACCACTGAAGCCCCTCGTCTGTCCCCTACCTGTGCCCCAGTTGTACCTGCACCACTGAAGCCCCTGGTCTATCCCCTACCTGTGCCCCAGCTGTACCTGTACTGAGTGCCACATAGGGCTGATCAGGATCGAACCCTAGAGTTCTTCCTCGCAACACCTTGGCTGTAACCCACTCAGCTACTACGTCTGGTGACCCGTCCACTTGCTGTACTGCTGGGGAACAGGTACGTGGGTGCCAGTCTAGCACCAGCTGAACATGCGCACAGGAGGTCGAAAGCTGAGGAATCGAACCCGCTACGACGTACGTTGCATGCCAATCTGGGGCCAACTGAACGTGGGCACGGGATACGCGACCTCCACGTTGCGACGCCCGACTCTAACCGAATGAGCGTTCTTCAGGCTCGGGAGCGTGGCTTTCCGTTCCGTTGAGCCGGGGTTCACGAGGGGGAAGTCGGCTCTGGCGATGAGGTCTCAATCAGGACGTTACTCATTTCTGGTCGTTGATATGGCCGGGAGTTGGGGCTTAGGTGTGTGGGGAACTCGGGCCCCTGAGGGGCTGGGGGACCCTCATTACACCTGGTCGCCAGTCCCGCGGGTTGACCATGTCAGGAATTGCTGCATTTGCGGTACCGGTCATCCCCGCCTTGTGTGTGTTTTTTCCTTCTGCCGACAGTGGCCTGCATCTACCGTTCGGCCAGGTGTTTTGCCCGCCCTCATTCGATTCGACAGGCTTTCTGAGTTTGGCCGTCCGATCGGGGGACGGTAGTCCCAGTGCGCGCACTTTTGTAGTCAATCTGATCCGTCGAAATAGCGGCCGTAATGCCCTTCTGGGGGAGGAAAAGAAAGCGAGCCAGCGAGCGAGTCGAGCGACCGAGAGAGAGAGAGAGAGAGAGAGAGAGAGAGAGAGAGAGAGAGTTGGCCGATTAGTCTTCGTTGGATCTTTCGCGCTGACTGGTTGATGAGCCGGCCGGCGGCTGAATGCGCCGAGCAGACGTCCGGGGCCAAGTGGGCGACGGGCCAGGCCAGGCCAGGCCAGGCTGATCTGCGTGGGTCGGCCATTTGGTGCCGAAAGGACCATTCCATTCTCTCCTGTTCCAGGGGTGGGGTCGTAATCACGGGGAAGGAAGCCGAGGGAGGTCCCAGTCGACATCGCCGGCCTTCCTCCGTTACGTTTGTGCCTCTTTCTGCCTTCTCTATCTGCTGCCGCGCTGCCGCGCTGGCGCCATCGTCCTCCTCTTCTCCGACGCACCTATTGGTTCAATTTCAAGAAATGTCGAGGTAATCACTGATCGGCTCAGAGTTCAAAATATGCAGGCGAAAATTTGGTCTGCAGGCGATCGTAATCGGTTCTGCTTCAGCTTGTATCCGTGTCGCTCCGGTTGCGCGGCCCGGACCTAGAGACGATCATTGCCCTCTGCTTGAAGTGTACGCGAAGATCGTATCCCTTGTAAGTTTCCAATCGAACCCTTCCTTTCCTCCCGCGTTTTCTCTGCGTCACTCCTCTCATCGGTGCTCCTCTCTCTCTGGCATCCTTTATGCGCGCTGTCTGTCCTCCCAGTAGTTGGTATTCTGTCTTCTGGAAGTCACTTCCGTGGTTACCCCTCGTTCCTTTTCGACGTCCGAGTCGCACCTTACTTGGCAACGTATTTCTGCGCTGCTCGTGCTCTTCTGCCCCTCGTGGGCCTGTTTGTCTTCCTTTAGCTTGCCCATTGTAATTTGAGCTGTAGGAGGCGAACGAGCAAACAGACCCTTGGCCATCGTAATTCGAGGTGTAGGAGGCGGCGAAGGAGGAAGCAGACCAAGTCGAAGGCGACGGTGGCGGCGGCAGCTGATGAGGAGCAGCAAGAGGGACTAGGGAAGAAGCAGGAGTAGAGGATATGGAGGGACAGGGAGGCGGGGGTCGGGGGAAATGCATGCGGAGGTGGGGGGAGAGGCAGACGGAGATGGGTGGAGATGGGGCGAGAGGCAAGTGGAGGTGGGGAAAGCGGGAGGCGAAGGTGGGGGAAGAGGGCGCCGGCGCGAGGGGGAAGAAGGTTGAGGGGGGCGGGGGGAGGAGGAGGCGGAGGCAGAGGGTAAGATTACAGAGGAGCTGAAAAAAGATGACGGCTGTAGAAGAATACTCGGACAAGAGGATCAATCTAGGTGGTACGTGAGGGGTCTAAAGGGAAAGGGAGAGGGGTGAACGTGCAGTCGACGGCAAGCGGGTGTACCTGCGGTAGTGCTTTCAGATCTTCTTTGTGTCGATCTCTCTTAAGTTGCGTGAATGTTATGGCTGCAATGGAAGAGTAGGTGGCTCGTCGTGGTGTGGTGGAACCATCCATGTTCAGTGTGAGGAAAGACCTTTCTTTTTTTTTTTTTTGCCCTTGTCTTTTTCGTTTTGGGTTTCTTGTTTTTGCTGCTCTAGTTCCGTTAGCCCCGAGCGGTACGCTTTCCCACTTATGTTTCGATTTTCTCGCTATGTATGTCCATATTTCCGTTTCGTCCGTCTGTATTATCGCAGCCGTTGCCATCTCTATCGCAGGACGCCCATCTCAAAAGTATATATATGTGTGTGTGTGAGAGAGAGAGAGAGAGAGAGAGAGAGAGAGAGAGAGAGAGAGAGAGAGAGAGAGAGAGAGAGAGAGAGGCTAGTCTCGGGAAAATCAGAAACATAGGTCGTGTTTTCGTAATTGTTTTTGTTTCGTGCTGTTTTAGTAATAAAGGAGTGATAATGCCTATATATATAAAAAATATATATATTATATATAATATAATATTCTGTTTGTACGTAAGAGGTTATGAACAGGTGGAGCTTTCCTTACCTCTTCCCCCTCCCCCTTTTGTCCTTTTCCTTTTTTCTTTTCCCTTTTTTGCGCTCTGATTCACAATGTAACAATATATATTTGAGTTGTAACAGTTCAAGAAGAGGGTAGGAGGTTTGGCGGCTTTTGACTGGTTTTGAGGTACTGTATCGGCAGCGAAGGAATCGTAGGGAACAATTCGAGTCAGGCTGAGGCTGTTCGCCGAAAAACTTCTCGTATGTTGTTATGTCCGATAGGTTTCGATCTCACGACTTACAGTTATCCCCCGCACCATGCTCAGACACTTGAAGCATGCGTCTTGGAAGAATCGCCAGCCAGCCACCGGTACACACACTTGAATGGGAAAAAATGAATATCATTTATGGAGTGGGATGGAATGTCGTTCTGGGATTGGTGTCCCCCAACTGCATCATGTATATCCCAGACGGGGTTTAAAACCCGTGTCTTCCTTCGCCAGAATCAAGAAGTCGTTAATGTATCATTTTGTGAAAGGGCGATCGATAACGGATACAAGTTGCGTATCACCTTGACTGTCCGCAAGAGAGGGCAACGAGTAGTTCCCTTTAGAGAAGAGTAATAATTCACTGATTAGCCTATTAAACGTGTTTGTTGCAAAACCCCCTCGTCAGAAGAACACATCATATCAAGAGGGCGGGACAGTCATCGGCTGCTTTATTCCCATTGATCCCGGTATATGCGATCTGATAGGAACGGTACCGATGAAGGATCCTACCAGAAGTACAGTTGGAATTGAAGTGTGCACACACACACACACACACAGAGAGAGAGAGAGAGAGAGAGAGAGAGAGAGAGAGAGAGAGAGAGAGAGAGAGAGAGAGAGAGAGAGAGAGAGAGAGAGGTTCAGTGAATGGAAGGGACTCTTGTTGTAAAAATACTCTGTTTTAAACTCGTTATCGTATTTTATTTAGACTCTGTACCGTGATTACATTCTCAGTTTGTGTATTTGTTCCGAGTGGTGCTGTGCAATTGTTTGTGTATGATTATTACTTTACTGTTGCTCTTTGTTATTATGAATGAATGATATTACGTATGTAAGGCAAGTTGTCGTGAATCCAGTGTTCCTCGGTGGGAAAGTACGCCTTCCGTAGGTGTAAGTTTGGAAATACGTTTGTATCATCACGGCGCCAATACCGATCCTCGGTGGGTGCCAATAGGCTCGCGGGATTCGGCCCGTTGTTGTCGCTATGTGGTGGGTAGGGCTTTTAAGAATTTGTAGCGGGCGAAAATCAAGCCGTTCAATTCATTATGACGGTGGTTTGTCCGGCGGAATACTCGATGATGGATGATATAGAACGACGATAATATTCTTGTTATTTTCTCGGAATGTTGTTGCCGTAATGTTTTCGTCGCACCCAATGTGCACCTTTGTTCTCTTCTTTTTCGGTCGGTCATCACGAGGGCCAGCCGTGCAGTTCATGGATCGGCTACCAATAGTATTTCGCCTGTCATTTGGGCGTATAGTTTTGGCGGGAAGGTAGGTCGTTCTCTGCAAGCAGCTTCTCGCGCGTGCGGGGGCCGATGTCCGCGAAGCAGTCACTGGTTGACATGGTTGTTCCCGCCAAAATGTACACATCGCATCGTCTTTGGCGGGAAATGGAGTGCGCGCCTGTCATGCGTGGTTTTGACGGGAAATGGAGTGCGCGCGTGTGGCGAAGCGGCGCGTTAAAAAAAGCAATGGCCTGCTTACCTGAGCACTGGTTGACATGGTTGTTCCCGCCAAAATGTACACATCGCATGACAGCTGGATTCAGATCTGACGGTCCGTGTCATCGCCATAATAGATCCGAAAAAAGACGAAATTTGATTGATTGCAGGTCGTTGGTCTGCTGCAGAGGCCAGCAATCAGCCGGTTGTCTGGCATAAAAGATATAACGCGACTCGCAATCGCAACACGAACCTCCTTACTGTCAAATCTATTAGGGAACTAATCTGTTAGTTAATCCGTCTTCTTCAATCGACTAGTCGATTCATCATCGTTAGTCAAATCGCTCGTTCCGTCATTGCTGTCAGTTAATCACTCGCTCGCTCGCTCACTCATTCAATCAAGCACTCGCTGACTCACTCGCTGGATCAATCAATCAGTCGATCAAAAAATCAACCCATCAATCGTATCGTATCGTTAATCTTCTGTGCCGTCACGCCGGCCAGCAAAACGTCTACGGAGCGAGGGAAAGTTGAGGTCGAGAATGGGCACTGGCGGGCGGAGTTGTGGGAGAAGGAGAAAAGCTGCAACGCGAGCACATTGTCTCTGGCTGCTAATCCTTCTGGTTGCGATAGCGAGAGCACGAAGTGAGGAAAGAGAGGTGGGGGGCCCGGGGAAGAGGGAGGGGGGGGTGGTTGTGGAGAAAAGAGGACGGGGAAAAGGTAACAAAAGGCGAGGAAAAGGGGGGGGGGGGGGGGGAACCTTTGAAGAGAACAATAGATTATGGAATCATCATCAATAGTGGTAGACAACGGCTATCTTGCCGAACACATGGGTCGTGAGGATATAATAACCCAACCCGTTTTTTTTCCTTAATACGAAAGGGCAAAGAAGTTGGTTGCCTCTTCACGTTCTCGCATTGGTGAGCGTTGAAACTTGCTGGTGAGGCTGGTCTGTCTATTCTTTGACTTGGTTTTTAATTTTCCTCAACCCACCGGTCTCGTATTGTCACCGATCGAGCATGATGGCGATTTCTTTTTTCTTGAAGTTGACGATGTCTCACAAGTCACGTACTCCACACCCCCGTTGAACGAGGTCCGAAAGCTGGGGGCGCATTTTACGTTTTTTTTTTTTTTTTTTCTTTTTTTTTTTCGTCGAGGAGAGCGAGGTTCTTTTTTTTCACCCTATTACCCCCCGTTACCTGGTCCGTGAAAGACACAAAAAGGCCAAAAAAAAAAACCAACGGTTCTGGAAAGAACCGAAGGCGCTGAGATCCCCAACCCTAGGCGGGAATGGACTTTCTTCTTTCTGCTCGAAAGAGGAAATGAAAAGATGCGGTTTTTTTTATCTAGGACGTGCTGTGTTTTTGACGGCCGTGCTAACTACTGATGGCGTGAGTCGGACAAATTTCCAAAAGAGAAAGCAAACAAGAAGAGAACGAGACGGATCTGGAAGAGCGAAGAGAGATGTAGAAGCTCGAGATGCGCGGGCGACTTCACTGCGAACCCTACCGTCTTCCCCCCCCCCCGACCTGACCGACGCACCAGGATGATGAACGAATAGGAGCTATCTTTCCGGTCCGGTACGGCCATAAGAGTTGTCGTTGTGTTCGGGAGAGGAGGTGTAGGTACGGGACGAAGACAAGGCAGGGCGCGCCACGGTTGCCCGCCGTGCACGAACTTTTTTTTTTTTGGGGGGGGGGGGGGGGGGGGGAGGGCAGGAGAAGGGAAAACCGTGAGGAAGATCGGGCAGAAGGAAAAGGGGAAAAGGAAGCTGAAAGGATGATAATGTAATGATTACCGCGAAAAAAATCCAAAGGTGGCCGAGGACGTGCAAGGTGGAGGAATGCCTGAAGATGACGAGTGTATGGATCTCAGCGGGGTATAGTAAGGGACCGCTCGTCATGCACGAACATCATGAACGCATCTGGTCGATGACGCTGTCCAGATGCGTTCACAATCTCAGCGGCGGGGTGTCGAAGGTGGTATATATTGACGTAGGCGGCTCTCTAGCTGCGTACCTACAATGAGGCGGCGGGCAGTTACTGTTTTCAGGCCCTCAGAGGATCATAGTGCCTGCCGTCTTCTTCTGAACACGAGCCATCGTGCGTGCGTGATTAAGAATGTACAGTAGCTATTTTCCCGGCCCGGTGCAGTCGTGAAAGAAAGAAGGGATAGTAGTAGAACTGATGCCGTTTTTAGGGTTTGTATTTACCCGCCCGCTGCGATTAGGTGGAGAAGGCGCAGACGCGCTATAGGTGATATTGTTGTCGATCGACCTGTCCGGGAGTTTCAATCAAGCTTTGTAACCTAGTGGAGGGAATTCGAGCGAAGGGCGAAAGGCAGCGGGCCGTGTCGAATTGAAGTTAGGTCGCTTTTTTTTTTTTTTTTTTTTTTTGCAATACTGCCAGAGGAGGTAGGAATTGAGCCTCGCTCCACACTACTCACCTTATATGCATAAAAGAGAAAACCTGGCGGTGTATCTTTCCATGGTCTAGCGGAAGATTCGTTCTCATTTTGCGCATTTGGTTGGTGAGAGTAGTGGAGCGAGGCCCATTGTGCATTGCGAAACCTATCTTGTTTTGCAATGTAATGCACAGGGCGTTGTGTCGGTGGTGCCTAATCAATGCCATCATCAACGTTAGTGATGAGTTGTTAACTAACTATAGAGACTATAGAGATAAGTCTGTATTTTACACAAGCTCACTGGCGCAACGTTTGTGACGAGACGGCTGCTCTCTGTGGTCAGTATATAATGTTGCCCTGGTACTGCTCTTCCTCCTGTTCTGCGCCCGGTGGCTTGTCGCTCTCCTCCTCCCCCGCCCCTGAAAAACACGAAGCAGAACTCGAAACCTCTCTCTGGTCTTTGTATGGAAGTGACCGAACCAGTACGGTAGGGTTTGCGTTGCGTTCTTTTCAGACGGGTATTCTATTTCGATTGGATGGATGATTAATAATGTCGAATTCATCAAGTAAGGAAGGGATGATTTTGTAGAGAAGATTGTCGAGGGGAAAAAAAAAAGAACCAACGTCGTGGTGAGTCTGTGAGGTTATCTCTTTCTCGAGTTGGATGCTAATTTTTGTCAATCATGGATATATGGATGGGTATTATGGGGGATCAGGAATGGAAAAAGACGG